TTTTTTGTGGCCCTAATTTAAGCAACAGTTAAAATAATGTACAGCCTTCAACCTTGTAGCTCTCCATATACTGAATATTATTTCCACTCCCATAATCTTCAACCAGTATAACCCTTGGGAACAGCTATATAATTATTGTATATAAGAACAGCTGCTATAGAATATCCGCATAGCCAGCAAATTAGATATATACAGTATCTGTGACTCTTTAAGATGTTATTTTGGGCACCAAGCAGTTGACATAGCACAGCTAAATATCTAGGGCCGTTCCAGATGATTAAAAACAACAGCACTTTATTCTCACTAGGATGTTATCACTAGCATGATATAGCATTTCCATGTAATGGAGCCAAGATAGCCCAAAACATAAAGAGTATCTGCTTTCTGTGGAATGTGTGCTTGAGAAGAGAACTGAGGCAGACAAAAATGGTTTGCAAAGCAAGAAGCCACTATTGTGAAAGAAGTGATTTCTTGTATATGCTTTCAACTGAAACCATTATTCTAAGGTTCAACCATTATTCCCATCATCCTTAGATCACATTCTCACTGAAGAAGATGGGAGATGCAATTCAAAAGATCTAGAGGGTACTAGATTGATTGCACTTGTGTCTTCTATCAGTAACAAAAGATAGTGACATAGAGTGTTTTCTATGTAACTACCTCAAATTTTTAACTTGCACACATTTCAGAGGGGCTGCATTGATTTGGAAATGCAATATACCAGCAGCTCAAATGGGTATTACAATGTCCAGATTTAAAAACAAAGACTTTAAAATATGCAGGGGGATCCCAGTGCTCTATTCTGTTGAAACACATGGCTTTGCATTTTGATAAGGCTGTTTATCCAAATTAAAAATGTGAATCTTCACACATTTCACACAATCAGATGAAGGAAATTCTCAAAGTCATATTAATGCCTAATACCGGAGCATCAGAAGATGGTACCTAGAAACTACTATCACAAATCCAGCTATCTATAATGATCAAATTGCACAGTAAGAGGATCTCTTCTTTTCTTATGGAGACCTATTCTGAGACTAGAAATAGGTCTCTTCTAAATTATCTTCTCTCTTGTATTCTCAGTTCCTGTTTCTCTGAGACATTCATTTTCAGTGATAGCAGGAAAACTGTTACTCTAGGATTGGGATACTGCAGTGAGCTTTTAGAAAGGTAACCAGTCATTAGCCTCTCTGCCATTTCACTTTCTCCAGTTCCTTGGCTGAAAAATAACTAACCTGGAGGGCTTTTTAAAATTATTATATTTTTGGTGACCTTCAGCGAAGTTAGCAGTGATGCTATCTATACACATCTCCAGTGAGGGCAGGGCTGGAATTTTCCCAGTTTGGGGAGGGGGATTAATGTTAAGAGGTAAGTATGTGTATGTGTGGGGGTTTGTGTTTGTGTGTGTGTGTGTATGTACGTGTATATATATTTATATCTATGAAATATATCTTTCGTAATTGAGTTGGTGGAAAATTCTGCTACAATTTTGTAGCAATTGGTTCCCAGGATGTTAAAAAAAACTGTTTGTGGATCAGGAGTGCCCACCACTGCCTGAAGGAAGTAAAATTGTTCCTCAAAAACCATGAGCTGAGTTATAGTACTGAATGCTAATACTGTATGTCAGTTGGATGGATAATCAACAGGTGACACCTCACAATCTTGCTTCATAGTTATTTCTCTTTATTGGATTGGCTTAATTTGAAACGCTAAGACCATATTTATGCATTTTTGTTTCCTTTTTAGGATTTTGATTCATTTTTCTGTGCAAAAGAAGAAAATTATATTTATTCATTCCTAGGACTTGCTCCTCCACCAGGCTCAATGGTATGAATTTATCTTATGGATCTTACTTTTCTTTTGATTTGTCTTGTAAAATTGCTATGCTGTTTTCAAAAAATTGAAGCTGCAGTCTGAGGTAGGTGAGAACCACTGAGAACCCGTGAGAACCACTGCATAGCCCAGTGAGCCCGACATCTCGCAGGTCTCTCTCTTTTAAAATGTAACCATTAGACCAGGTGTAAGCACCCTATAAGTCCTTCCGATATTGTTGAACCCTAAATTGAATGATCAACAGGTATGAAGGCTGAGACTGTAAATTAAGATCAAGAAGCTAGAAAAATATCAAGAAATTCATGAAAAGCCAAATAATTGTCCCTTTCCATAACAGACTGCTCCCTCTCTCCCAGTACTTTAAAGGAAAGTAGCACTGACACATGTTGCAGGATGTCTGAAGGGGGAAGAGAAGAGAAGAGAATTGCTGGTTGGAATGTGCTATATTTCTTGGTAATCTTACATCACCACACTGGAGTGCTAAGTTAAAAAGCAATGTCTTCCTGAGAATTTCCTCTCCGCCCTTATAATGCATTGTGTAATTTGAAACACAGTGATTATATGGGACAGCTGGGTGTCCTGCAAGGATAGACTGACATTTCTGCTGTCAGGATCCTTTCTTAAGGACTATTAAATCACACAGGTGCAATTCTACACTTCTATGTCATAATAAGGGGGATGAATAAATTAAAGGGAAAACAAGACTACTTTTCCTTTAAATCAAAAGAAGCAGGAATCATAAGAATGCATAAGTCTTTACTATTGAAAATAGATCGGTCATTTTTTAATAAATACTCATGCAGTTATAACAAATACTTAAGTTGATGAAGATTCTCTGTCATCCAGGTGGAATTTGGATCTCTGTCCAAAATGTGAATAGGTGGTTTGAGAGAGGAGTAAAGGAATCCATTTATGCCAAAGTGGAAAATCCTTCCCTCAAGGCCTCAGACACAACTTGTCTCCCATTTTTCATGCTGCTCTTTCATCAGTTCCCAGGAAGATTAAGACCACTTCACAAGA